GCAACAAATTAAAAAAAAAAGTGGAAACTTCACAATTTACTTTAAGAAAAAAAAAACTTTAACGTTGTGTATATTTGTCAGTTCTTTTCCCATTTTCCTCAACAAATTTATTATTTTCGCAATACCTTTCCTTAATTTTTGTAAGTAGTAGACTTATATTTTACTAACTTTTGTCAAAACGATTTTCTATGAGACTAACCTTACTACTAGATAGGTTAGTTTACCTAGGTCTCGTTATTAAGTAAATAATTTCATAAAAGTAAATAGTTGTTTATATCCCTAGTCTATATTATTATTAACCATTTTCAACTATTGTTTCTTTAAATAGTCAAGTAGGCAATAAATTGGAGAGAAAACAAAGTGGAAACTTCACAATTTACTTATAGAAAAAAATCTTTAACTGTTGTGTTTATTTGCCATTAATTTTTCCATTTTTCTTAACAAATTGATTATTTTCGCAATACTTTTCCTAGATTTTTGTATGTAGTTGACTTATATTTTTCTAACTTTGGTCTAAACGATTTTCAGGCACTAGGAAGTAATTATTATATCTCCGTTTTTATCTTGATGCCCAATATCATAAATGACAATGTCCAAATCAGCATATCTATGCTGTTTCTTTGTTTACAACTGAGCTAAATTGGTATCAGCAACGATAAGTAATGATCAGTAATGATTGAACGTGTAAGGGTCTTCATGATCAAAGCGATAGCGGGCAATCTTGGAACTTCTTGTGACGTTCATTCATGAATTACCGTGTAGGGTCTGCTTTAGGCCTTGCTAATGGAGGCCCAAGTGAGGTTAGGCATCTCTAATGAAGGTTGCAACAATTTTTGAATATTTTGTTTTTGCCAATTTTAGTTATCACTAAACACACACCCAAATACATATGATAAACTTCTGTTAATTTAACTTATTCTATTAAGGCTAGATCAATAAATATCGCTCAAAAACGTTGGGAGGACTCACTTACGTAACGGAGGCCAAATGAGGTTATGAGACGTAAAATATATTTTGTATGATGAACAAAAAAAAAAGAGGTCAAGGAGAACCTTGGTTTGAAGCCCCGGGAAGAATAAATTAATGATCTTTACGGTATGAGAGGTACAGATAAGATAAGGAAGAAACATATAGGAAGGAGACATTGGCGTTGCAGACAAGATGAAAGTTGAATAGAGTGATACGACTTCAGTTTCATATAGAAGCTTGTCAGCACTATTTATTGGAAAAGCTCTTAAATATCACTAACAGTTGAAAAAGTTTCTGCTACTTTAATGAAAAACAGTTTCGAAAAACAGATATGACTGTTTCGAAACCGACAAGCAAAAAAAAAAAAACTTAAATACTCTGTAAAACTTTTTGTTTCACTTACATTAATTGCAGATTATTTAAAAAAGATCCTATGGAATATTGGTCACAATATTTATATAGTGAAGTGAACACTAGATACCGGATTCCCATGTTATTGCACTTATTATTCGCTTGCGTGTAACTCCGGGCCCGAAAATCTATCCGTTTCAATACCTGTAGAATAGTATATTTAAATTTTATATTGCACGAAATTGCATGTTTTGGGATTAAATTGCACATTTTATCAATTTTTACTATTACTTTTTATTTTACTACATTGTTCAAATTAAATTCATCATTCAAAATAGAAAAATATGAGGAAAGATAATTCTGTGTGAAGCAAAAATCGTATTCATAACAAAAGGATGAAGTAAATACAAGTGAGATCTATGCTTGGAGTAGAACTTGCCAAAAGTATTCGATAATAAAAAGCTGCTATTCTAGAATTAGCAGTTATTAAGTCATTTATAGTTATTGTTTTGGCTTTCAGTATCTCTTTCGGCTTTGAATTGATTTGTAGAAATTTCATTCTTAAAAAAAAAAAATTGATAACGCTGAAAGTAAAATGTAGTCTCTAGTCCAAAATTAAAATCTGGATATCAAAATACCGCGATTTGAAAAGAGAGGACAAAGAATTTGATGAGAAAGTTCTATACACCTTATGAAAAACCAATTAGATAATAGGAAATCACTAATAGACGCTCATTGTGGATCAAGTAAGAAAAAAATATTGCTATCAAAGAAAAATGCTTTTTTTTTTTTTTTTTTTTTTTTTTCTAGAAATAGCGTAATCTCCAAAAATATTTTTTTTAGTGATATAAAAAACAGCTTCAACATTAATATTTGAACACTTGAAAATTTCAAACACTAGTTTATTTCAATTTTTCTCCTATTTATACTACAATTTTTTTAAACTCTAAGGTTTGAAGTAATAAATGAACGCTTTATAAAGACCAGACCAATTTTAGATATTTAACTTTTATTTGTGTTAGTAAAAGCGTTTTGGAATGTATAATATTGAAATTTTATCTCTATTACAAAATAAAGTTTTTACTATTATTTTTAATAAAAGTTAAATATCTAAAATTGGTCTGGTCTTTATAAAGCGTTCATTTATTCCTTCAAACCTTCAATGTTCTGGATTATTTGATAATAATCGTTATTATAATGGTTGATTATAATCTAGAATTTCATTTTGAATGTAACATCTCTGATCTGATTAGATTTCGATGTATTAATGTTATAAATTACACATTTTTAGGTGTTAATTGCAGAATTTTACGAGTTTTGGATTTTTATTTCACGATTTTGCACATTTTGAGTTTTTTACTGCACGTTTTCCGAATTGTTACTGCACGAAAATCCGGTCTCTATTTATCACATTAAAAAAAATTGTTGGTTTTCCGTTTTTCCGTGACTGATTTTCTGAGAATTTCCTTCCTAATATGATTTTTAGTGCCCCTCTCTCTCTCTCTCTTCATTTCCTTCAGTTAGGTTGAAAAGTGAGTTTCAAATCAATTTGTTTGTTTAGCTTTATTAATCAGTCTATATATCGGATTATATCCTACACCATTTAAGGTAAGATTATTAAATATAATATTATAATGGAAAGGTGAGTCCTCAGATTCAATTTAAATAGTTTTTTCTAGATAGAATGGATTTCAAGAGAAACAAATTAATAATTTGGAATTTTTTCAGATCTATCAACGATGTGAAATGAAGTTGTAATATTTTTAAACGAAAAATCAGATGTAAATCGAATTAGTGCCTGGGCATACTTGAACGGATTAAGGTTAAATGCGGCTAAAACCCAGGCCATTGTCATTGGTTAAAAGCCACTCCTTAGATCCTATACCGACTTTCCCATACTAAACCTTGGTGACCAGCCAATCTCCTTTTACTCCTCTGTCAAAAATTTGGGATTTTTCATTGATCAAACCCTCTCCTGAAATCACCATATTTCTCACATCTCCCGACGGACAATTTCTACGCTCAAACTATTCCATCGCTTCCGTAATCTCCTACCTTAACATACGCGTAGAATCCTGGTTTTCTCTATCATCTTCCTCCACTTTGACTACAGCTGTGTGGTGTATGATGGAATCTCGGTCGAGCTCCGCGATAGAATGAAAATACTTGTGAACTACTGCGTAAGATTTGTAATTGGTGCCCCGAGATACTCCCAAGTTTCTCACCACTACACTGAGTTAAAGTGGCTCTTCCCCTCCATTCTAAGACAATATTTCCTAGGTACGTTCCTCTATCAAATGATCAACAATCATCGTCCTTCTTACACCTACAACCTTCTCCAATTCAAGTCCTCAGTCCACTCCCTTTTCACAAGATCTCGACCTTCCGACTTTTACATTCCTTCTCACAGAACAGACAGAACAGACAGCTCGCTCTATTATTTCTGGAATTCCCTTCCTATCAAAATTCTGCATTCTCCCTCCCTATCTACATTTAAAACCCTCCTATTCCAATTTCTATCCCAAAACAGTCAGACACCCCCCGCTAACCTTCTATGTAAATTTACATATTATTCAAAATGATTCACATAATAATATAGTTACATATAATTCATCTTTTTTTTTTTTTAATGCAGAAACGTAGAGTTTATTGCTAAGAAGAATGTAATGTATTTTTTATTTATTTTTTTAAAAGTGTATACTTATATTTTACCACTGTACATAGTTTTAAGTGTCTTGGCATTGTTTCAAGTGTTTTGTATATAGATTTTTTTTATTTTGTACATAGTATGTTTAACTAATATTTTCTTTACTTTTTTTTTCTTTATTTTTATGTTTTATGTTTGTTTTTACTTAGGCCAGATATAATACTTTAATTTTGTACTTTTTTGTTATTCTAAAGGGACTTCGTCTCAGAATAAAACTATTTTCTATTCTATTATATTCTAAATCATCTATAACAAATATGAGGACTCATATAAAAAGAAAACATCCCACAATGAAAATAAACATCGATAAACCAAGACATATGGAATAATTGAAACAATTGAACTCCTGCCACTTCCCTCGACCACACTGACATAACGCCAAATTTGGAAACAGATATAGAACCTCAGACGAAGTACCTCCTTCTGCAATTAAGACGGAACGCAAGCAAATCCAACAATTATTCAATACACCAAAGTTTGGAGGTCTAACCTACGTCGTGGAGTCCAAATGCGGCCAAAAGATGGTGAAATAGGGGTGTCTTCAAGATCCTATCCTTAAAGTTTATACGATATTGGTTAAGGAATTTCGTTTGACGAACAGAAAAACAAAAACAAAAGAAACGAGATAAAGGAAAAAGACCTTGGTATGAAGCGCCGAGGAGAGGAAATTAATTATCTTTGCGGTATGAGAAGTACAGATTAGATAGATGAAGACAAAGCATTGAAACAGACAATTGGCGTTGTAGTCGAGATGAGAGGTTACCTATATATTATTATTGGAATTATTTAAATTTAATGTGAAGGCCCGTTAATAATTAAGTAATAAGAATTGTATTTATGATTTTTACTAATAATTACATCGAAATTATTTTAATATTTATTTGTATCCCAAACTGTCCATTATCACAAAATGATTCACTACTATTGATTTTACAACTTAATTGGACACGAACGGAGACCACTGGGCCCGCAGATGACCAAGCCGGCCCACATCGGCAACTATGCTGCATGTTGCGGCCTATCTTCGGTGACCGATAGGTGGGACGTGGATAAAAACCATGCCGATGCCTTACATATAAACCTTAACACTATGGCAGTAGCATGTAAAAACTCCAAATCCCCACCGGTCCCGGAGCAAAAATCATTGCTCGAGAAGCTGTTGTGGGTCCGCTCAGTCACCAACCGCCCGGTGGCCACCGGCCAACATTTTCCTTTTTTTCTTTAATAATATATATAATCCCCACAACATTACAAGGATAACAAATTGGCTCAGTAAATATTTCAGATTTACCTCTATTCACATAAATGTTATAACTATTAATATCAGAAGAATCAAGGTAACAGGCTACAGCCTGTTACAAAGCTACAGTCTCATCTTGCGTTGAAATAGTTAAATAATATTGAATTGAAGGATATACTCCCCTAAAAAAAAAACAGAAAAATAAGCACGAGAGTGCCGAGCAGTTTTATAGATTGGAGGATTAAGATGTGATTGATGTCTGAAAGAAGGTAACGAGTCATTGATGAAACGCAAGTAATTCGAACAGGAGGAGGAATAAACAAGAAAGTATTTGTCTAAGGAAGTTCTATGCAGCGGATTGATATAATTCACAATTGATTGAATGAAGGCAGGGTAAGAAAATATAGATCTAATGTTTTCGTTGGATTCCTGAATAGATGGAAAAAAATGAAATTTCTCTAACGGCCATAAGGATAATGCCACTTTAACTCAGCATATTAATCAGAGTCGCGATTAGAAATCCTAAAAATAATTCTTAAGAACACATAAGATCTCTTCAAGCTCATCGGTAAGTGCCCTATACATCAGAAATATTAATGTAATATGTTTATAGAAGGAATAATAATATTAAATAAAATTTCTTTTTTAATTTGTACCTAAAAAATATAAAAAAATTCAGTAACGATCTTACAACCAGGCAACTAGAGCCATCTCCTGAGATGCCCATCTCGATATTTTATTACCCACGTTTTCTTAAAAACAGAATAAGCGAAGGTAGAATTAGAAAAATCTCAGATATACAATTACTCTTGCTACGATCTGTTCAATGTTTTCTCTTTGTCCGTTAGTCTGAAATGTCTTCTTCCGCAAATTCATAATCCCGTCGAAATGTGCCCTTCCCTTGTTCACAAATACAAAAAACCGTTAAAATATGCCCTCTCAAAAATTTCGATAGCACAACTGCGAACCATGAAACCCCTTTCGGGGCACCCCTAACTTTATCCATTTTCCATACAATTAGCCGTAAAAATCTCTCTTATCAACTTATTCCGTTTCAGTAACCCTTTAGATACGGTAAAACTGCATAAACATGGGGAATGTTATTTTTTTAATCAGCGCTTAGTAAATATAAAACAGAGACTATTAAGATTGTAGACGTTCGATTGAAGGGAAGTCCGAGATTGTGTTGGTACCAACTTCATCAAATTTTAATAGAATATATATTTTCATCAATTATTTTTGTCAGCTCACCTCTAAACTTTTTGACCAGGTCTCACCCACTGAAACGCCAATGATCCGTCATGGGATAAAATCAATAAGAGACAGGATGAAAAAATACTTTTAATAATTTAATAAATAATTCAAAGTACTAACGATTTTTTTTCTATAAATATTATAAAACGTGATACTGACTTGTATTCATTCATTCTATAAGTGATCTATATCTACTATGCGAAAAAATAAGAAGAGGTAAACATTGCCTTCGACCTAACAAACAATTATAACTTAGGTATTCGAACTTAGTTTTAATCTTTAATAACCACCATTTTTACATTGCATGTTTTACTTCAGTTAAAACATATTTTATTAATTGGTGATTTGTATGCTATTCCAGATAGAGTTTAGTCGTGGTTGAGAATGAAATTCTTCAATTAAAAAATTTTTTGTCAATGCGTTGGAGTTCCTCCTATTTTTAACGTAGCTCTGATCATCAAAGAGAAACAGCAAGTACACAATTTGTACAGGAGTAAATTCGAAAAACAGAATAACCTTATCCTCAATCAATTCGGCGTTTGAAGAAACGCCTCTGATAAGACGCGCTGGAGGATCTATTTGGGACCGAATGGGACCTAAAAGATTTTAAGTAATTGTTTTTTTTTGTCTATAAAAGATGTATTCTATTTGTCTATAAGTGATCTATATCTACTATGCGAAAAAATAATTTCAAAAGAGGTAAACGTTGCCCTCGATCTAACAAAAGACAGTTTTATATAAGATATTTATATTTTTTAGAGAAGGAAACATTTTTGATCATCAAAGAGAAACTGAAAGTACAGATGTGAATTCGAAAAACACATTAACCTTAGTATCAATCAATCAGGCCTTTCAAGAAAAGCCTCTGATAAGACACGCTAGAGGGTCTATTAGGGACCGAATGCGGCATAAAAGATTGGAAGTAATTGTTATTATCTGCTCGAACGACCCGTAATCCCGAAAAAATGTATTTTCTAAGTATATATTTACCTAATATTTGTTCGACTTGGTCATTTTCAAATTCTCAGAGAGCGAAAAAAAAGATAATCAAAGATTCGAATGCCACCGTTGTGAATTGATCTTCGGGAATACCAGTGGTCTTTCCACACACTTGGATTTTTCAATTCAACAACGTAATGTTTTGTAATAATCTAATAAATGATTCAAAGTACTGACGGTTTTCTTTTTTCCTATAAATATTGTAATACATGATACTGATTTGTATTTATTTATTGCAGATCTGAACTTCTATATCTAAGTTGCGGGAAATTATCTCGGAAGAGCGGTTTAATTAAAGTTAAAATAAGCGGATAAGTTAAAATCTCATCTTTCAAATGAATAATTAAATATCATTGATAATATTTAAAGTTAAATTAAATTACGTAAGATAAGGTACAACTCGAAGTCGTTTAAAGAAACTCGTTTAAAGATTAGATTTTTTGGAGGGCGAATGCGGCCTAAAAGATTGTAAGGAATTGTTATTATATGCTAGAACCATTCATTATCCGAATTAATGTGTATTCTAATTGTAAATTTATATAACACTTAAGATACGTTCGACATCTTGTTTTTCAGATTATTAGAGTACGAAATAATTTTCGCTCAAAGAAAGAAAGAAAAAGCTATGAAAATTCAAATGCAGTGTATATGATCAAGTCAGATAGGTAATTTTAACGTGACAGCTGGTAATTTTTTCACAGGCATGGACTTCCGTTAATATCATCGATCAAGTTAATGTTTAGAATCAATTTTACTTAGGTGTTGAAGCAATGAATAGTATTTTCTTCCCTAGAGGTTCTGCTACATACTTTTTTACGAGCATTTATTTTGATTACTATTTATTTCTAGACGGCTGCCAAAGTCCTTCTTCAGATCTATTCACAGTTCTGTCCCGATCTTCTACAATGAAATCGTACACGGTACATTTTTATGAGTTAATCGATGGTTGTTTAACTGTTATCACTATGCTTATGAATATTTTAGAAGGTAATGGCTAACGTTGAAGTAAAGCCTGGGATCCCTTAACCAGTGCAAGAGACGTGTGATAATCCACAATGGCCGATGAATAGTTTAAACAGATAAATTTTCCGGAAGATTTTCCGATGGATGGCGGAAGTCGACAAGAGAGAGCTCACCAAAGCAAGATAACATTTGCATTCCTATAAGTACTCAATAAATAATACGATTCAAATATCAATAGCTGTTACACATATTTATTTAAGAATTTATTCTGAAATATTTTCTGTAAGGCAGAACGATTGTTTTCATTGTCTTTATTCGTCAACTATGGCGGAAAAGTTGGGAAGATGCTGCTTGACTTAAAGGGGCGTTTCAAGATACGCTTTTGATAAGAAAAGTTTCAGCCACGCCCCATTTAAGGAAGGAGAAACAACTTTTGGGGTTGGACTCGTTCGTATTCTGTGTGTATTGAATGACGGACGGATATCACAGCGGGGATTTAAAAGACTCCCTCGGTACCGGGACGCGAACTCGTGACTACTTTCATATCGTTTGAGTCATATATCAGAGGTTGCCGGGCAACGGCGGTGCTGTGCACACGCGTTAGCCCATTCGGCCACACCGCCCTTATCATCCAAGTGATAATGAGGAGGGTTCAGTATTGGAGAGGACCCCTTACACACTGTACTCAAATGCGGCATGTTTGGCCAATTCCGGGATGAATATCCCCTCATCCAAAACAATAGCGTCAACCTCAAAGGTTGGCAGATTTATATAGAGATATCATTCAGTCATTGTGCAGATTTATAGAAGAATCTAAAATAGACTTTAAAAAAAAAATAAACTAATTTACTTCCATAATTATTTGATATTATAACAATGGGGGCAGTAAAGGACTTCGGAGGAAGTCTTGGACGAACATAGGAAAAAAAAACGTATTGGAAAAATAGTTGGAAGATAGGAAGGAGGCAGTAGTGAATTCTATTAAATTTAGTTAAATCTTCTGTTGGATTGTAATAAATGTAGACTAATATTCATATGTACTTGTTTTAGGTGAATTTTTTTTATTTTTTTGTTTAAAATATATTTTTTGGAAATAAAAGTAGCTCATGTTACATAGGACAAACAAAACAGAACATAAAAAATAGAATTAACCAACTTAGAAGTAATTGTAATTCTAAAACAAAAAAATATAACACCGGCATTGGACTAGCAACACATAGCACCCAACAAAACATAATTTTGATTTCAACAACACTAAAATACTAATAAGTGAAAAAAAAAAAAAATAGCTTTAAAAGAAAAGTTTTAGAATCCATTTACATTTCTAAAAATTAAGACAAAGTATGTAATTTCCAAGCTACAAAAGGACTAAACAGCACATATACCAATATAATCACAAAATTTAAATTTTAATTAATCAAACGTTTTAATAATAACCCTTAATAAATGAGCAGTATAAACGAATATATAACAATGTGCAACCTCCCAACCACACTTATAATTTAATCTGACTTTGGACTACATGCATGCATGGTTGGATAAATTAAGAATGTATTAAAATCTAAAATAATTTATGAATGTTGATCTTATCTTGATATTCCTGAATTTGAATGAAAAAGGAACCTCATTCTATTTAGTGGTACTGTTAATTTACAAATTAACTGGTAGTGTTGATTACAAATTTAAAAAATGACTTAATCTAATTACAGTTACAATTTATAGAATATTAAATTAAATAGGGCCAATACCACCTTCATGGAGTGTAGAAT